GCACTCGACGGGATTTTGTTCGAGAATGCAAGAGTGTTTAGATCTGTAGTTTTGAATGCACTGCGCAGGCCATCTGCCTTATGCTGCACGACATCTGCAACCGATCTACAGGGCAGCCTTGAGAAACAAGGCGTCGAGGATCAACGCCGCGGTGACTTACTAAACCTGAGTCGCGGGTACGTCCCTCATTTCCATGCATGATCAAGCTGATGATTGTTTTCTTTCCCTCTCTCCTGTCAAAAAGAATTGATTAGTGGTTGCGCGAGTGTTTTTCCTTGGTGACGTCTCGGGATTTTTGCAATTGATTGACATGTGAACTGACAAACGCCCTTCGATCGAGCGTCAGCCTCCCGTATCTCCCGTATCAATGCGACCTTTTCCTTACGACGAGGAAAGGACACGTGTATGCGAGTGCGACGTATAAGAAGCTGTCGCACGGATCGGCGGACGATTTTACTTCCCTCCGAAAAATTGTTGTTCAGGGTTCATAGAGGTTGGGTTTGTCATTATCGATACGCACTTTCCACCTTACTCGATATTGTTGCCATTTAACGAGTTGATCGTCATCCTGTGGACAACAGTAGAACCCCACTGGCCTCGCACTCTATGCACCGAGTGCCAGCGCTTTGAGCGCTACGAATCCAAGGGTTTCCACTACCGCGTACGGAGCGAAGACGAACACAGAGAAAGAGCCACACGACTGAGGCCCTCCACGTCGGACTCAGAACTGACTAGTGCGGGACGTCGGGACTTAATACGAAGACGAAACACGCGAAGCGTGCCGAAACCTTTTCGCTATAAACGAAGGGCCGTAGCACGGTGGGAAGTCCGACAATACTTTTTTGATTGAATTTGTATTTCTCTCTCCTTTCGCGCCGAACTCTCCTACGCATTTTGCGACATATGAAAAACGGTCGACTTACTTCATCGAACCAACACGGGGGATCTCAGTTTTGTCTGTGTCCCCACACTCAATTTCCAAAAATCCTTGGCACACTCCATCTTGCTGTTTTTCTGGGCCCCTTTTCCGCAACTTAGCACTCCGAACGAAAGACAGCACAAGGCGTGAGGTTGGTATCGGAGCCGACACGTGTCGGTTTTGATGATAGTTAGTCGAACTGGCGAAAGGTAGAAGAAGCCCTCAACCAGCTCGAAGAGACCGCCCAGTGACCAGGTGTCGATCTGGTGCGGTTGTACCCGCCATGCCAATGGTAGACGGTAATAGGGTGGTCGTTAGCATTCCTGCCCCCTTCCCCTTCTTCCCTAACGATACCCATCCTGAAGCTTGGTTGGAAGTCGTCGAAGCTCAAGGATACAGTGCGGATGATCTTCCCCGCGTTCTTACCTTGCTACTTCGGAATACGTCGCATGACTGGTTCAGAAAGCACACGTGGGTAGATTGGAATACTTTCAAACAAGCGTTCTTGGCCCGATTCGATACGGTCAGTGAAGATGCCGCCTGGTACGTACTCAAAAATCGTCCGCAAGGACTAGGGGAATTGCTGCCTGATTTCATGGATCGATTTCAAACCACGTTGGACAAATCTGGGCGAGATGAGAAACCCGCTCAAGATTTGTTCATCGATCATCTACGAAGTCGGACTTTGAAAGGGAAGTTACAGAAAAAGGTTCCCCCGAAAACTCACCAGTTGTCGGCTATCATCGCTAAAGCCCTCGAGTTAGACCTGACCGATACAAAGAAATATATCAGTCAGGGAGACGAAGACATCATAGATACGATACAGGACGTAGCAGCTAAAAGACGATCATGGTTACAGGCGGTAGAACGGTTTTATCCCCATGACCTCCCCGACGGGACCGCCTCTGATATCCCGTTAGCTTCGTCGTCTTTGCCCCCAACGAATCCACAAGTAGCGACACTTAAAAGCAGAATCCCCAACGATTCCCCCTCTCAGGCCGTAACAAATTTATATCTTGCACAAATGATCCATACGGTCACCACTAAGCAATCTGAATGGATGAGCAACCTGGTTCAAATGCAAGCAGCTCACATGGAGCGGATGGAACAGATAATGAGCAGGCTAATTAAGCCCAACCCGGCCCCTGCTCGACCTGCCCCTGCGTCATTTCCCCTCTTGCCTGCCCCGCCTACACCTGGGTACGCCCCACAGTTCCCTCACCTAGCTAATCCAGCACGAAAGGTCGAGTGTTTTAACTGCAAACAGCCCGGACATTTTGCCTGGGATTGCCCGCAGCCGAAACATAATCAACCCCCACCAGCCGCGGCCCCTGTGGCTCTGAACCAAGGACGAGTGGCCGCACTGATGGACACGGCCCAAGGAGGGGAACTTGTTGCATATGAGCAACCCTCCCCCTCAACGGCAGTTGCTTCAACCTCGGGAGCTTCTTCCTCCTCCGACGCTGCTGACGTGGTCGATTCACTCGAGTACCTTCATCTCGCCGGCATGGTTGGAGCGATCCGATCGGCCCATGATGATCTTAAATGGGTCGATCGTGAATCCAATCCCGGTCCATAGTTTCGGACGGGAGAAATGGATGTATTACGAGCGCTTAAGCAGCTGGATATCCGAGTTCCGATCCCGGTAGGGCATTTTCTCACCATCTCCGAAGCTGCAAACGATAAACTCCTGCAACATTGCCAGAAAAATCAAAAGCGCTTCACGTACCAGCGAGTACAACAAATGTTGAAGAAGAAGGAAGGAACTGAGGAGGTTGCACCACCTGAACCTGAAACAGGTGAACCGTTTAACGCCCTTATCGATACTGGGTCTTCCGCAGTGGCCATATCCTTAAACACAGTAAGAAAGACAGGATGACTCGGATCCATTCTTCCTCAATCAAGCAAAGACAATTATGTCTCTGCCGACGAGGAAGCAATGAACATCATAGGTATTATTGAGAATGTGGCTGTGAAGGTCGGACGAGTACATGTCCTTGTTAACGCACTAGTGATAGATGTGCGCTCCTATTCTGTGTTGTTAGGATTACCTTGGGCGATGGCGGTAGGTGCTCGTCTGCATTTCGACTCCAAACAACTGGTGCTCACGCAAATTGCGGGAAAGCCTCAGACTGTCCCCTTGCGGATTTTCACCCGGACGGCAAAACGAACTCCTAACGCTTTCCTAGTAGGGATGATTCAAGGCCTCGATCCCGAGGAACCTTCCTCCTCGGACATCAGTAGCGGAATTGGGGAACAGGTGTACGAAGAAGAAATGCCTAGTGAGGATGAATGGAAGCACCTGGTCGAACTTTTTGAACACGAAATCCCCGAAGAGTTTCGAGTATGCCCTAGAACCGCTCGAAGCTTCCACGTGGATTCGGAAGACAGCGCGCCCGCGCCTCTGGAAACCCGGATTAGTCCTTCAACCCTCCTCGAGGAACCCATCCAGCAAGTATCTGACCTAGCAGATGATTTGGAACCCCCTCGCACCTTGTACGAGGGAGCGCTTTCCTTACGAGCACGCTACCAACAGACAGAACAATATGTGGATGTTTCTGTTTTCCCACCAAGATCTTTACTAACAATGGGAGCGACCATCGCCTTGATTAAACAAGAGGCCGAAGCACCGGTAGGCGATGTACCCGATCTGATGCAGGAGATGACGGATCTAACAGGACTAACTGTGGAAAAAACATCGGTCGGTTCAGAGACTGATGTCGAAGCCAAGAAAACCGAAATGATCAGCCCTGCTGAATTGCAGATGATTGCGATTGTTTTCTCTGTTCGCACCATTAGTTCTGTTTTTTCCAGTGTCCATGAGCGACGGGAAAGACCGGCTGATTGGGTCGACATATCTCTTCAGATCCCTGGACGACCGACAATCTCCCTCCCAAACCACGTCCCCACTGAACTCCAAAAGTAGCTAATTAGTGTTTTGAATGGCTACGTGGAAGTATTGAGTGTGCGCGATAATAATATCGACCTAACTAACGTGATTGAACATGCCATTCTCACGGGGGATCATCCACCCATTAGCTGCGTTCCTTATAGGTACTCACCAGCTCAAAGAGCGGCCGCTTTTCAGTGGATCAAAGAATTTGAAGCTAATGGATGGATCGAACCCGCTATAGGACCATGGTCTTTTCCCGTAGTAATTGTGCCTAAAAAGGCCGGAGGAATTCGCATTTGCATCGATTATCGAAAGTTGAATGATATCACGATCAAGGATGTGTACCCTCTCCCCCGGATTGACGAGTTGTTGGATGCGATTGAGAGTGCTCGATTTTTCAGCAAGTTTGATGTTCGCCATGGGTTCCATCATCTTCTTGTTCGAGAGGAAGATCGCCCGAAGACTGCGTTCGTACTCTTCGAAGATACGTGGCAGTGGATTCGATGTCCAATGGGCATCTGCAATGCTCCCACAACTTTCCTGCGAGCCATGAACATGGCCTTTCAGAACTTTGTGCGGAAGACTCGTCTGGCGCAGAGTATCATTAACTACTGCGTGATTGTGTACATGGATGGCATTTTGGTGTATTCGAGTTCCTACGAAGGACACGTGCAACACATTGAATGGGCGTTGCATGCGTTACGAGATGCTGGTTTCAAGGTGGCATTCGAGAAGTGCCAGTTTTTCCTAACCACCATTTCCTTCCTAGGACACGTGGTAACAGACCAAGGACTCAGACCGGAGCCGTAGAAGGTGGCAGCTGTCAGAGATGCGCCGGTGCCTACGACTATTACGCAGGTTCGCGCCTTTCTGGGCCTGGCCTCATACTACCGAAGGTTTATCAAGGGCTTCGCGGCAATTGCGGGACCTTCACGAATCTGCTGCGAAAAGACCAGCCGTTGATCAGGACGCCAGAGTGTGATCAAGCGTTTTCGGAACTAAAGGCCGCCCTCATTTCGGCCCCGGTCCTTATAAGGTCGGATCCTGAAAAGCCTTTTGTCCTCATTACTGACTGGCAGCCAGAGGCAATTTCGACGATCTTAGCCCAGGTGGGACCAATCGGACTTGAGAACGTGGTGGAGTATGCGTCCAAATCGGTGCCCGTCTGCAAGCGTAACTACGCCGCTCCAACAGGAGAATGCTACGCGGCGCTTTGGGGAATCAGTCACTTTCGAGCTTACTTGTATGGGCGGAAGTTCACATTGGTAACCGATCATGAGCCTCTTCTAGCCCTGAAGAAATCTAAGGATTACTCGGGCATGATCGAGGGATGGGCAACAGTGCGGCAGAGCATGGACTTTGACATTCGTCACCGGAAACACGAAAGGCACGGGAATGCGGACGGATTGACACGACTGCACCGACCTGAGAAGGTTTCGAAGAATGACGAGGTGATTTCGTGGAACGAACCGAAGAAGGAGAATGGTCCTCGGTACGGCCAAATGAAGATCCTGTCAAAGGAGTAAGTGACACGGGGTCCATTTTTTTTTTTGTTCTGCCCCCTCTGCAATTCAGTCCCGTCTCTCCCTCTCTGCCATCATGACTACCCCATCCGTCTCTGCGACCCCTTCTTCTCCTACTAATTCTGCCCCTCTCACCTCCTCCGCTTTCTTTGTCACCCTCCCCGACAAATTCTGCTATTTTTGTACATGTATTGCACGGGTTTATGGGGTTGACTGTCATCCTTTCGAAACCGGGTTTGTCGATTGGGTAGAATGTGCCACGTGTGTCAATCGTGCGCACGGGGCCTGCGTTCGCTATCGGACGAATAGGAGGTGCCCCCTGTGTAGAACGGCCAAACTTCCCACAGAGGTTCGATTTGAGGCCGTTCGTACGGACGAACCTGAATATGACGAGAAATACCGTCGAGCGGAGGTTTGGACGAATAAAATTTTACTAGCTAAATTAGCGGGATTATCATTGGGTCACCTCACCAAACACGACAGGCGCAGGGCTAACGAGAGATCTCGGGACTATCGATGGATCAACGGTCATTTGGAGAAGCGTAAAACTGACGGATCGGGTTCGTGGTTGACAGTTCCTCATCCATTCCAGAGATATGATTGGACCCGATCTGCTCACGAAGAACAGACCGCTCATTTCGCTATACGTGTCACGGAGGCAACTATAGACCAGAACCAATCCAATATACGAGATGATATCACATATGTTATCGCCAATTGTCTGGTCTGTGCCGCTGATCGCGCCTCAATACGGGGACCGAACACGATAGTACCAATGGAAGTAGAACGCCCCTTCCAGCGAGTCAGTATGGACACAACATATATTGACGTGCCACCTGGCCCAAACCGTTGTGAATATTATATCCTTTTAGTATTAATAGATACAAGTACATCGAGGTCTACCCCTGCAAGACCCGCAAGGCCGCAGAAATAGCCACGTACATCGATCGGTTCCTCTATACCCATCTAGATACGAAAGAAATTTTGACCGATAATGGGTCCGAATTCAAAGGCGAAGTAGAGGAACTGCTCGCGCGAAGGGGCATCACGCTCCGACATACGGCACCCTACGTTTCTAAGTCGAACGGGTTGGCCGAAAATGCCAACCGTATGATTAAATTCGCCCTTCGCAGGAATTTAGCGGCGCATGACACGCGTCCGTGGCCCGAGATCGTGTATCAGATCGTCGGAATTCATCGGGCCACCCCTCATGAGTCCACAGGGTTCACCCCCTTTCAGCTTCGCACTAATAGCCTCCCCTGTGTTCACTACCGGGGTAACTCGGAAATTGCCGAAGCAGGGGGTAGAGACACGCATGCCGCCCTCAAGGCCAAGGCCAAAAGGTATACCGATTTAATGGAACGGGCCGTCCCGAAGCTAGCCCGAAAACGACAAAGGAGACCGATTTGGCCCACGGTAGGCAGGTCCGTAGCTATGGGGCTCGAAATGGAAATGATGGGCCCCAGCATCAATATAAATTAGGGGACCTAGTGCAGGTATGTAAATGTGCACGCGACCGGAAACTCGCTCCCAAGTTTTCTTGTTGTTTTCGCGTTGTCGAGCTCGGACCCAACGGCGCCAACACGGTGCGCATCGCGCCCGAGGCTAGTGCCAGCCATAGCTCTGTCCCCATCGTCTGACATACCTCCTACCTCCGACCTCGTCTTCCCTCTGATCTTCCCCCTTCTTCCTCTTCCGAAGGCGAGGAGAACGACGACGATCTAACTCTCTCTCCGCTCTCTCCCTCCTGCCCTTCATCTTCCTCTCTGTCCTCGCCATGAGCTTCATTACGGAGCGGGCTCTCGATGATCAACTGTTGCAGCCACGTGGACACATCTCATAAATTCGGCAAGTTCGTCATCCACGGCTTAGTACGGATCTTTGGCACCTGGCGCAGTTCTTCTGCGACATGGGTGTGTGTGCAGCCGCCGCTTTTCGATTCGAAGGGAGTCAGCAGGCAATAGTATTGGCGGAGGTGGTAGCGGTACATCGGCGACCGGCTCCCGGAACGAGCCACGTCACCACAGTCGCGGCTTTCAGCGGCGACATCAGTATGGTCAATCCACTGTGGCATACCGCGATCTTGACCTCGCTGCGAGAGTGGACGGAGCAGGTGTCCAACGTGTGGCAGCGCAGTCTTGCCCGACCAGGGCACAATCTCATCCCGACCTCTGCACCTGATCTTGACGGGGTCCACCTCTCTCCGCGCGAGCCAGCAGTTGCGATCCTCACCCTCGTTGCTTTCCCACGCCCCTGATGAACCGCGCCGCCCCCCTCGCACCTCTCGCCATCTTCGGTCTCCCCTCTCTTTTCCCTACCTTCTGGCAGTCCGATCTTCATCCTCATCTTTCCCTCTCGATCGAACCCCTTCCCGTCCCGCTTCTTAATCCCGGGCATTAGCGACTTTGGCGCGAAACCATTGTCGAATTGTCCATGTGTTTGGCTCGAGTGCAGGTGACGAGGACACGGACCAGCGAGCATCCCGCGTATTTCGAAAATCTGGAATTGTTGATCATACAAGCTTGGAGGACTATCGTGGAGGGTCATCTCCTCAGTTCTCTCTTCGGATCGGTGCGGCCGGGACATCGCCAGCTAATCACTCAAGAACTCATCGCGCCGATCGTGCAATTGGCGGACGATCTCTCTCTTGACATCGTTTCGCAAAGCGACGACGGCCCCGCTCCGCACGTACTCACGTGAATGTTGGATCCGTATCTTCAGTGGAGTGCATGCTTGGAAGAGCCTGGGGACGAAGACTCTCTACCGTCGCGGCAGGAGTATCTGAAGCCATACGACATCATCGATCACGCTTTCTATCCGAAGGCAGAGGAGGTGGTGATAGAGGGGGAGGAAAGTGACGACGACGAGGAAACATCGGAAGAGGGAAGCTATAGCGAGTATAGCGAGGGCGAGCAGAGCGAAGAAGAAGAAGAAGAAGAAGAAGAGGAAGAAGAAACCGGGTCTGAGTGGGAAGCCTTGCCGGAGGAGGCGACGCGTACTGGTATGGAGGCGGAAGATCCTGAGGCAGCACTGAGGCGGGAGGAAATTGCCACCGAAAAACGCCAGCTGGAGTTCGCCAGCGAAGCAAGCCTGCGCATCGGTGACGATCCGGCCAGGGATCCGGAGCCGCCGAAGCCCGAGGATGGCGATCCAGCAGCGGCCACCCCCAGCACCTCACGGCGGAGACGGAGCCGATCCTCCTCCCCCTCCAGCCCCACCCGTCCCCCAGTTCGTCCACGTACCGATGCGGGGGATAGGCCTTCGTTTCCGGACATTATCCCGCTGTCCCCTTGATTACCTCACCCTCGAGCAGATCCACACCCCCGTCACCTTCCCCCACCACCCCTTCCATCCCCATCTCTTCCGTGATTTCTACTCTACGCGCCTAATCGCTACTATTTACCCTCACCACCCCCTTCAACTCGCTGCCCCCACGTTTTGTCTACATATCCTGTTGTTCAGCGTTGCGTGGGAGCAGTGCAACGTAGTAGAAGTCTATTGCGTAGCCACGGGGACGACCCCCGCCTGTCGCCACTACAATTTCTTTCGCGCAGCGCTCTTCCACACCCTCTCCTCCCTCTTCCGCGACTACCTCGCCTCTCACCCTCATAGCGGCGATCGCTTCCCTCGTTTTCACCGGATCATTCGTGATGCGAAACTTCCGATGACAGTAGAAGGGTTGAATCGTTACCTACCCCCACTTCCTCCCCGTCGTCCCTGCGGACGTCCCTCCATGTACAGCCTCTACTGACCGATTCCAACAAGGCGGTAAAACCCAATCGCATGACTATTCCCCCCCCCTCCCTTCACCCAATCGACAGGGGAGAACGACACGAATCAGTAAGCTTCGCGAAGATCATGCCATTGACGATGACGTCAACCTACGCTCTGATTCGACGGGCCGCAACGAGCCGGGGTGCAGAGCACACGGAGAACCAGCGGACGATGATGGCGTCACCTTGACGACCTCCGACGATTCCAGCAGCACGAGCCAATAGACTCACGAGGAGGTTGCAATTGAAGTTGGCGTCAACATGAACTCTGGCTCGATTATCTGCTTGGTTCCTCATGCATCACTCTTCCCCCTCTTTCCTTCTCCGCTGTGACATGCAATCAGGAGATCGCATAATTTTGGAAACCCCCTGCGCATCACATATGTGACGAACTACTTACCGAACCCGTGCTATCTTTCGTACCCCTTTGGTTTGAATTTTTCTTGTATCATACCGACCCTGCAAGCACCACGTTTGTTTTCTTGATTTCGGGCGCCGCGTTTTGGGCTCCCATCTTCCGAAAGCTTTTGTGATTCTTAGGTTCTGCTTTTTCTTTTGCAATTCGAGAAATGCATAGGAAGTTACGCGCGCTTTAGCGAGCGCACTGGAATTGGGTCCGACAGTTGGGAATTCCGGGATAAGCGAAACTGCGACGTGTCCTTTTTGTGTGTGAATGTTCTCGGCCGCGTTGGGAAAAACTCTCGGAATTTTGTGAGGATACGAATAGGCGTAGGACATTCTTTTCCCGCGTCGTCCTTTTCGCGTGCGGATATGGTGATTTCAATTTTGAATTGGTTTAGGACATAGGCAAGCTGTAACTGTTTCGGTGCCTTTTCTTTTTCTTTTTGTTGACGGCGCCACTCATCCGAAGCTTTCTTCTCCCCCCCCGCTTTGTTTTCCTCATCGTTCTCTCCCGCGCTCTTTCCTCTTTCCCCACCCCTTCCCATCCTCCCTTCTCGCAACTGTTTTATCTCTCTCTCTCTCTCTCGCTCTAATCGATTGCGCGCCCATTTTCGTTTCTTGATCATCTGAATCTTGGATCCGTCTTGCGCTACTTCTCGCGCCCTTTGCGCCCTTTTTCCTTTCGCCTTTCGAACGTGAATCGGAAGCCCGGTCGATCCTTCCATTACTCTCGCCCACCAATCAGACGCGTGGTACGATAGGATCTGCCTATTGCGCGACGAATCTGATTGGCGAAGCTCAGACTACCGAAGGATCAACATGGCTTCCGTAGCGCGCTCCCCGCCAAGTCTTCTCCTCGTGCTTCTTTTCGTACACTTCGATTTTCCCCCTGCCTTCTCTCTCCCTTGCCCCCCTTCTCGCCACTATAAATTCCGCAAACGCGCCCGCAAATCTCTCTTACTTTTTCGACTCCCAAGCCAGCTTCCGGGAAGCAGTGTCTAGGCAGAGTGTTTGGTGCAAGTCGGAAAGTCCTGTCGGGCTGACGATAGGCTGGCCGCTTGCGCGCTTGATCGCCACGATGGACTGTGGGATCTGGGCGAACCGCGTTGAGTTTACGTCGGCGGGGTGACGATCGTCGATCGCAGTGGTGGGAGTTAGCACGCGACAGCCGGGATCGTCGGTGTGGGTATGAGGATCGATGATTGGAGTTGAGTGGGTGATTGGCCCGGGGCCATATTGGAATTCACGGCGAATGCGCCTTTGTTGTTGCGGATCTTT